CTCAGGTTTTGAGGTTCTCGGAGCCACTAGGTCCATATGTAATGATACATGAGGAACAACAAGGATATATCCAGTGGTATTTGTATAGGAGGGGGAGTCATGCAATGATGGAGAATTAATTTGGAACCTTGCAATCTAAATCTAACCCTCTGAGGTATCTCTTTGGTCCCTAAATTTCTTATGTTTTGTATAGTTACTAACTGAACTTAAGATGTGAGAAAAATAAAGGTCAAGAAAATTCCCAACTATATGCATGGTCCTAAATTTGAGACAAAAACTCATAACTTTAACTACAAACAATCCCACCCTGGCAAATGAAAATGATGTCCCAAATTTGGTGCATCAATTTTGAACTCTGTATTTTGAAAGATAATCATGATATATTCTGTATTCTCAGTACAAGCACTTCTTTTCTTTCTGATTGCAGTGAATCTAATGTATTTTCCTAATTCTAGCAACTGGAATGTCTGGCTTGATTTTAAATAAGGGTCTTTATTTAAGCCTAAGTCTTTCTGAGATCACATAGCAATTTCCAATCAAATTATTTTTATTTACTATTGTATATAAGCAAACATATTTATACACACACTTGTAGAATATAAAGAATTGAACATAAGAAACTTATGTCGTTCTGTAATATACATACATATTTACTTGTTTTTCCTGTTACTCTTATTTGGAAAAATTCTTGTGACCCACCAGCACTTCAAACTTAACCTGATCAAATCTAAATTTACATTCAACCTCCAAATCTGATCTTGTGTTCTTTATGTCAGCAAATATTACTACCTACCTGATTAACTGGTAGGTGGTAACACTATTATAAGAACACAATCCCTAATTGTTTGCTCCTTCCTGTCTCATTCACCAAATTCATTCCTAATCTTTTACTTCCCTATGTACTTCTTTTCTTCATCATAGCTCACATAAATCTAGCTCAGAAAATTATCTTGTCACCTGGATGATTGGAAAACACCTAGCTCTAGTTTTTCTACTCCAATCATAGTCAATGATTATGTAAAATTCAAACAAAAGAACACGTAGCATTTTTCCACTGCTCTGGCCAATAAAGTCTAACTTCTTCACAAGGTTGTCATAGTTCATGATCCAACACCCTTTTTTCTCTGCAAGCTCTCGATAGTTACTCTGCTCTTCTTTGGTCCCTTGCTCCAGAGTTGTTGTTAAAACACACATCAAGCTCTTGATTTCCGTAGCCTGGGCACATCGGTACATACTGCCCAAACTCCTCTCCTGTACTCCCCACATTCAATAGGCTCATTCCAGACCCCCCTGTGCTACTTCAACACAATCTCCCTTCCTCCAGAATGTCTTATCTGTCAAAAGGTTGCTGGGTGGCTGTCCTAAAGGTTTTCTGAGCATTCAACCCTGTCTCAAACACTGCTTTATAGTCTTATGTGTCAGGTCCCTATACAAGTACAATCAGTATCTATGCTCATATTTAAAACAAACCTACTCCCTACAATCTTATATACATCAATCCAGATGTATATGAGTGTATACAATAGTGTCTATTTGTTGACATTTTGACTGGAATAGTATTGGGAGAGGCATCTGCCACAACCTGGGAAAAAGACTTAATGACAAGGGGAGGCAGTGAACTCAGAGTTAAAATAAGAAACGCCATAGAAATCACTACGTTAAAAAAATCAGAACAGTGAATAGGGTCATATTTCTACAAGTTACAGAACGTCAAATGTTGCCAACAGAGCTACAGAGATAGTATAGTAGGAAGGGCGTTTGCCTTGCACTTGGCTTACCCAGGTTCAATCCTCAGCATCCTATATGGTCTCCTGAGCAGCGCCAGGAGTAATTTCTGAGTGCAGAACCAGAAGTAACCCTTGAATATCACTGGATGTGGTCCAAAAACCAAAAAAAATGTTGCTAGTAAGTTATCAGAAGAGGAGAGGATGGAAATTTTTTCCTTACAGCTCTCAGAAAGAGAAATATAGAAAGAAGGGAAGAAAGAAGGGAAGGGGGAGGGAGGGAGGGAGGGAGATAGAAAGGGAGGAAAGAAGGAAAGAAGGGAGGAAGGAAGGAAGTGGGGAAGGAAGGGAGGGAGGATCAGATGGCAAATGTGCACAGAAATACACTATCAAAACAGCATGAAAAACCATGATTACATGACATCACAGGAGAGAACAACAATTCTCTAGGGCTGGAGAGAGAGTACAATAGAAAAGGTCCTTGCCTTGCACGTAGCCAACCGGGGTTTGATCCTCTGCACCACAGACCATCGCTGAATTCCTGACAGGAACCATTTCTGAGAGGAAAGCCAGCAGTAAGCCCCAAACACCACAGGATATGAAAAATGAAAAATTAGAATACTTCAGAAAAAGTTTTTTAAAGCCATCAACATGGAAACACTAATTCAAAAATATATATTTACACCCCTATGTTTATAGCAGGATTAGTCACAACTGACAAATATAAAATCAACCTAAACACCCACCAACATATGACTGGATAGAAAAATTTTGTATATATATATTTGTGTATATATATACATATATATACACACACACTCTCTCTCTCAATACAATATAACACTCATTCAAAAAGATTAAATTATGCCACTGGGACAATATAAATGAAACTTGAGGTGATTATACTAAAAATTAAATAAGAACATGAAAGACAGTTGGTTTTACTCATGTGCAGAAAAAGAGCAACCAAAGCAATGACTGGCAAGAAACAAAATCTTCTTGCATTCATCTGGAGGACATAAAGTAACAAAATAGGAGACTAACACCCAAGAATGGCCGAGATTAGTACCAGGAATTTTGCTCCATGGCTTGGAGGTCAGCCACACATGCTAGGGAAAAAGGGAGCTCAGATAAAGAAGGGAACACCAAATAAAGGTGTTGGGAGGATACTCCCAGGATGGGAGAAGCATGCTGAAAGTAGACCATAGATCAAACATTATTGTCACCCATTGCCTCTTTTGCAAACCACAACACCCAATAAGAGAGAGAGAGAACAAAAGGGAATGCCCTGCCACAGAGGCGGGGTGGGATGGGGGGGATGGGAGGTGGGAGGGATACTGGGATCCGTGGTGGTAGGAAATGGGCACTGGTGGAGGGATGGGTATTTGATCATTGTACAATTGAAACCCAAGCACAAAAATTTGTAAGTCTACAACTGTACCTCATGATGTCTCATTAATAAAAATTTTTAAAAATTTAAAAAATTAAAAAAAGAAACAATATCTTCTAGCTTTGATGAAAATTATGTTGTTTACAGGAAGGAAGCTGTTGAGGGTGGGAGACATAGGTTTAGGGGTCCTACTTGGTGACAGAATATTACATGAACTTTGATAGTGGACATGGTGAATCCTGCGAACATACAAAGGTCTCTGTCTCTGGAAATATACAATGTTGAAACTAGTGATTAATCAATAAAAAGGGTAAATAAAAAAAACTGTCCATCAAAAGAAAGAATCAGTAGTAAAAAAGGTAACTCTCAGAATAGGAAATATTTGCAAATCACACATTTGATATTCATCATACACTGAATGATATCCAGAATAAACAGCAAATTCTAAAATTCAAAACAATAAACAACTCAATTTAAAAAGCAAAAAGAGGGGCTGGAGTGATAGCACAGTGGGTAGGGCGTTTGCCTTGCATGTGGCCGACCTAGGTTCGATTCCCAGCATCCCATATGGTCCCCCAAGCACCACCTGGAGTAATTTCTGAGTGCAAAGCCAGGAGTAACCCCTGAGCATTGCTAGGTGTGACCCAAAAAGCAAAATAAATAAATAAATAATAAAAAAATAAAAAGCAAAAAGAGGGACTGGAGCAATAGTATAGCAGGTAGAGCGTTTGCCTTGCATGCAACCAACCTGGCATCCCATACGGTTCCCTGAGCACCCCAGGGTAAATCCTGAGTGCAGAGCCAGGAGTAACCCCTGTGCATTGCTGGGTGTGGCCCAAAAAGAAAAATAAAAAAAATAAAAAGCACAAAGAAATGAAAAGACATTCTCCAAATATATAAAAATGATCAGTAAGTATAAGGAAAGATTTCAATATCACTAACGAATGGGGAAATAAATGCAAATCAACGTAAACTTTAATACCCATTAGGAATGTTGCTATCAAAAAATAAACTGAAAGTAACAAGTGTTGGCAAGGATATGGGGAAAAATGGAGCCCCTGTCACTGGTAGGGATAGGAAATGGTACAGCTATCTTCATAAATGTGTATGGTAGTTCCTCAAAAATTAAGAATGTAAGTACATATAATTCAGCAATTCCACTTCTGGTTATATATTATCCCAAAATAAAAACAGGGTTGAAATATTTGTATATCCATGTTCATAGAGGTATAATTTACAATAACACAGAAGCAATCCATTGTAACCAAAGAAGATAAACAAAATAGGGTGTATGCATACAATGAAATATTGTTCAGTTTCATAAAAGAATGGAAATTCTGATATATGCTACAACATAAAACAATCTGAAGATATTATGACAAGGGATAATCCAGTCACAAAAGGTAAATACTGTATAATTCCATTTATAAATGGTACACAGAATTCAAATCGAGCCAGAAAGTTGAATGGTGGTTGCTAAGGGATGGGAGAAGGTGTGAATTGAGAACCATTAAATGCATAGTTTTAATTTTGCAATTTGAAAAATAGTTATGAAGATGGACAATGGTGATCAATTCACCACATTATAAATGTATTCAACACCAGTGAAGTGTATACACAAAAATAGTTAAGGTGATAGATCCTAAGTGATGTGTATTTTACCAGGATTAAAATAAAAGCCAGGCTCCTGGAGCAGGGTCATTAGCTTAATGGGTTCTTAACATTCCTTCCTTCTAAAGCTCTTTTAGAAGGAAGGCTATTCCCACAGAAAGTTCCTTATCCTACTCAGAGCACTCCATTCATCTGCAATTGGGGTTTCCAACCTGGCGTACTTTGGAGCTCTCAAAACAGAAATTTTAGAAAAGGAAATAAAAGCTGAGTCTTACCAGGGTCCAAAAAGGATGGACACTCTCCAGCAGCACCGAAGTTCAGCTCTTGTGGCCCTGCCTGTGGGATCCATACCTCTGACACTGGGACCTCAGGGGCCGATCCCATTACTTGGAGTGGGGGTGACTCCAGGTGGATGTTTGGTGCCAGATGTTCCATTCCCACTGGTGCGAGTTCTTCCAAGAGCATATCCTGCCTATCAAGCTACAGAAAATGCCAGAATTCATCATTCTTAAGTCTAGATAGAACAGCATTGCCCAGCAGCAACAACATGCAAGATGCCATGTTAAATTTTTTTCGTATGAAAAAGAAAGCAGATGATGTTAACCTGGACACAAGTCATGCAACTCCACATATTTAAAAATATCATTACATTAGAATATGACAAATAATTAATGAAAGGAAAACATTTACCTCCTTTTCTTACTAAGCCTTCTGGTCTGGATGTGGGATGCATTTTATAATCAATTTGAACTAGCCATATTGCAAGCGCTCAAGAATCACTCTTGATCAGTGGCTACCATACAGGCAGTACAACTAGACTGTACAAAGATAAAACCTTATTTGGCAAATTAAAAAAAGATAAGACAGATAAAGGGAAATCATAAATTCATTCCATCCTGGCGAAAGGGCTAGAACCTTTGAAAAGTTCCTGGGTGTATGAACTACAGAGTCCCATCACACACACTTAACAATGGGAGTGCCTCAATGTCTCAATGCTCAAAGCACATCCTTCTCCCAAAGACTTTTTCCATGTGTTCAGCTACAACATTCCCAAAGCAGAGTGTATATAAATTGGTTTCAATAGAGGTGCCATGACCCTCATGGGGCATTTTAGATAGGATGGTGGGTGGTGAGCATATGAATGCAGTGCATCAAGATGGGAATATATAAAATTGGTGAAATCTGTGGGATTTTCCCATCAATGATTCATGGAGGCAAAATAATCTATCAAGAACTTCACCCCATTAATTACAAAAACTTTAAATTACTTTTCTAGGAAAAGTTATTACAACTAGGTATCCATTGAAATATGAACACCAACGAGAAACTATACGGAGAAATGTTCAGATTTACCAACGGTTATTTGGGACACTGGAAATCCAGCTGACCAAGAGCAAGTCCACTTGGTACTTAAACAGTAGCAGTCTAAGTTTCTGTTTGCCACTTTCACAGTGAGTCTGTGAAAGATGCAAGTACCTGACACCTTCAGGAATTCTTCTAGTGAAGTTAGGCACAAATGTGTACATGCTAAAATGTTAGTTCATAAAAAGCTATCTTCCCTCTCCTTTCTATCCATCCTAGACACTATTTTACTTAGGGCTGGCAAATTTTCTTGTTGAGAGATAGGGGCTGAGGTGATATTACTGTGAATAGGGTACTTGTCTTGCACGTGGCTGACCCCAGTTTGATGCCTGGTGAATGAGTCCTAAGTGCAGAGCCAGGAATAAGCCCTGTGTATCACAGGTGTGGCCCAAAGCCCACTCCCCCGCAAAAAAGAGGTAACAGACATTTTAAGCTTTGTTGTTCACACTGGTCATAAACATCTCTAGTACCTACCAACAGTACTATAAATCAACAGATGCTGAGCTGCATTTGGGAGACGGACGGCAGAGCACTTCATTATGATTTTGATTCTGTGTATGTTAAGTAGCTTGCAATATGGATGAGCTGCATTTTAGGACAGTGAAAGTGAAATTGCCAAACAGTTATTATAAAAGGAGTTGGGATTCATAATTGAGAATCACTGAACTGCATACTGACTCCAGCTGAAGGAAAAAAAACGAACCACATGGCAAGGAAGTCTTGGGGTTCAGACAAAATATCTGATCTAGTACCAGATGTTATTGCTACTTCTTTTGATCTAATTGCAAACTTCCAAAACTCTTTTCTCACCTGCTGCTCTGGTATCTCAAGTTCTCTCTGTAAGTCTTCTATCAATGACACCACTCTTTCTCTATTCTCTGGGCAATGTTCCCTCACCCAGGTTTCTATCTCCGTGGGCAGAATCGTTAGGAATTGCTCCAGAACTAGTAGCTCCAGGATTTGTTCCTTAGAACGTATCTTTGGCTTCAGCCATTGACAACACAGTTCCCAGAGTTTATTGAAAGCTTCATGAGGTCCAGCTGCTTCTTTGTATTGGAACTGCCTGAAGCGCTGACGGAAAACTTCACAGTCAGTATCATACTCCTGAAACACCGAGCCCTGATTCAAGGAGGCCTGAATTGCACAACCCAAGGCCACCGCCATAGCCCCTTCTGGTAGGGTACAATTTCTCTGGAGCCTGAAGCCCTCTGGAGCCTGAAGCCTCAGATTCCAAATTGTTTCTTTGGGATTCCACCTATAGCTGGGGACAGGAGAAAAACGGGAAAGGAGAAACAGCAGCAGTTACCATAGGGTATACTTACCTCTGCAACCGGCTTACTTTTCAACAGTGCTCTAAAGCAGGAGAGCATAATCTTTTGGTGTTTTGGGGAATCTGATAAAATTCAAGGACTCACTTCCTAGAAAAATACACACACAGGACTGGAGAGACAGCTCAATGGACTGCATGTGGAGGCCTGGATTTGCTACCTGGCACTACATAGTCCCCTAAACACAGAGCTGGAAGGAGCCCCTGAGCACTGACGATGTGCCCCTGACTAAAAAAACTAAACATATACATCCAATTCTGCAGCCAGTTTACCAAAGGCATATAAATTTACAAGCCTACCTATAGACTATTAGAACTGTGCTTTGAACATACTGGCCAGTAGATTGATGAGAAAGTTTAAATTCAGTAAAACTAAACATTTAAGTTCTCAATCATGCTAGCCACGTTTCAAGTGCTCAAGAGAAATGAAAGTTACAGATTTCTTTTTATTTGGGGGCCATACCTGGCAGTGCCCAGGGCTTACTCCTGGCTCGGCACTCAGGAATCACTCTTGGCCACACTCAGGGGACCATATGGGGTGCTGGGCATCAAACCCTGGTTGGACGAGTACAAGGCAAGCACCCTACCTGATGTACTATCACTCCAGCCCCAAGTTGCAGAAATTTCAACTGGACAGCTATCCTAGAATTTTATGGACCTAAGGCTAATAACATCTTCCCCTAAACACCTAAACATCTGATGGCTTTCGATCTTAAATCTAATTTCAATTTTCTTAAGTATCTTAAGTAGGTTACAAATGAGTGAGCAAAACAACCAACGCTGGTAAAAGAACACTAAAAGTTAATCCTACTTAATTTTTAGTCATTTTCAACCAGACACTTTCTTTAGCTAGAGCCACGTTTCACAAAGACAGATTATCAATCCCTCCTCTTTCTCCACTGGAAAAAATAGTTCAGCTAACATCACTGTCACTCTCATCTTGTAATAGCATCCTTAGTTTTCTACATATTGTACTTTATTTCTCCTTTCCCCAGCACCAAGAGTGGTATTACACTCAGACTAGAGGAGGGGGGTGGGTGGGATTTGAGGTTTAGTAGGACTGAGTCATTTGACCCAGGTCAAATAAATCTCACAGAAATGGCGAGGAGGACAGAATGGAAACTTGCTATACAATGTTCTTATCTGCAAATCTCCAGATTTCCTTAGGGTGATCTCCCAGGCCCCAGATGTAATCCACATACATGCCCAAAAGATATCCAGGCCTGCGTGCAGGCTCTGAAAAGCTTTTACCTTGTGTTTGCTGAGCTGCCTCAAGAATCCGTTCTCCTCCTTTGACCAAAAAAAAAAAACCACTCTTTCCACCCAGTTATCCCAAATCAATTCTGTCCGCAGCCCCTCCTTATCTCGAAGACAGATCAGTCTAGGTGTGATCACCGCTATGTAACCGTGACAACCCAGGGCTTGCTAGCGTCTGTAAGAATAATCATACGACGAACCTCAAAAAAAAAAAAAACCTCCTGACGTGGATCTACTTTCATGAAAGTCAATAGCACCCGTGCCAGGCACAGATCAACAGCTCAAGAAATCTCTGGCTCCAGCGGATTCCAGGCTAGGAAACTGCTTTTCCTCCCGTTAGGCACCTAACCGTTGCTGGAGAGCATCCAGGAGACGTGTGGGTTTTGGCGACTCGCCCCCTCCCCCTTTGATCCGCTCCAGCCTCTGGGCTGGGCAGCCGTCTCCACACTGACCCAAACCTTCCACCACGTCGACTAGGGGTTGACCCTCCGCATTTCCCCTCCATAGGCCTTTCCAGATGAAAATTTCATCCCCGGGCCGATGGCGACTCCCGAAACCCTCGCCTTCCCCCGCCCCCCGAGGAACCCGCGCTCCCAAGCCCACGAAAAATTTTTTTAAGGCGTGAGAAATGAGGACCCCCGAGAAAATCACGGGGGAGCCAAGCCCCTGAGACGTCGAAAAACCGATTTTTCTTTTTTCCATCGGACCCAGCGGCGCGGCCGTGGAGCCTCGCGTCTCCCCTCCCCTCCCCCCCAGTCTCCCGCCGAGGATGTCTCGCCGCCGGGAGGGGCGCTCCCATCTCCCCCATCCCATCCCCCCCCCCAAAGACCCCGGAGCAGGCCCTACCGAGTCGCGAGGAACGGCGGCTGGAACCCGAGCCAGACCGGGGCCCGCGGTTCGGAGAAACGCCCCACGCCCTCCGCCAAGCCCGACGGCAGGCGGCCAGTTCGCGCAGCCCGAGCGCTCGATCCGACGAACCCCGCTACCCGCGCCCCGGGGACAGCCACGCCCTCTGGTCGCGCCGGGACTCACCGCCTCGGCGCCCGCGGCTCCTCAAGCCTTCACTCGCTCCAAGCGGCCAGGGCGCAGGCGTGCCGAGACACCGCGGACTACACCTCCCGGCAGGCCCCGCGGCCCGCGCCCCCGCGGCCAGCTCCCTAAAGCTTGCTGACGTGGGAGGGGCCGCGGCTTTCCTCGCGCTTGTCCAGGACCCGGCCGCTGAGGAAGCGAGCCCACTTCCGCTTTTAAGTGCCTTTCGATCCCGCGGGATTGGGTGGGGCGTGTTCCCAACGTGGCACTGTCCAATCAGCTCGAGAGGAGTGGGTGGGACCCGCCTTTCGGGCTCTTCTCGCTGCGGGATGTTTCTAAAGCTCTCTGGATGGGAAAAAAAATTTCTTGGGAGGGCTTGGTAATAATTCAGCTTTCTGGCCGCCACCTCCGATGCACACCCACGACCCAAAAGTGATCTCATAGGAGCTCAGACGCTGGCCTTCTTATATGCTTTATTAGGGGATTATAGCCCTGGGTCACAGAGTTCTTGGCGTTTTCTCTTCAAAACCTGACTTTTGGGGGGGCTGCAGATGGTACAGCGGGCCTTGCGTGCGGGTTGGATTTCCGGCGCCCCATATGGCCCACTGCTCCACCCGCAACCCCCTTCTTCCCCCCCCAAAAAAAAACCTGAAACAAAACAAAGAATCCAGATTTTCAAGTTAGTGACCTAAAACCTTCCCTTTTAAAGCCGACCCCAGATGTCTCTAGTGTCTAGCTTCAAGCAACGGCCTTGCCTTCCAATAACTGCTCCCGTTCCCTACAGGCCCCAGCCCAGGAGTAAATTTTTCCTCTGTGGATAGTGGGCCCATGAGTTGTGGCGAGGCCAGCCGCGATGTTGTCATTTAGGAAGCGGGGATCTCACAATGACTTCGAGCTAGCACTGCTTTTCTTTACACTACAAATTTAGTACCAGGACTTGCTGCGTGGCACTAGGACCTAGTCCTGTGTAGGTCCCTAGAGAGGAGAGAGCTGCAGTGATTGTGGCTCCTGATGGAAGCAAGACGGACAACCTGTGTGGTCCTTTGTGATAAAGTCTCAGATGCCGCAGACAACTCCGTGCAGATTGGAGTTGGCCTCATGGGAATGGAGCCCGGCATGAAGATCCCTGACGTTGTTCATTTGACATGGGGCCCCATGTGTCTTCGCTGGTGATAGCAGCTAGTTTCAGGCCAAAGTGGTCTTGACAGCGTTTAGGTTAGGCTCCTGACTGAAAAAATGAGAGTTCCTGCCCCAGAACCAGGAAGTGCCCCTGAATGAAAAGGTTCCTATGTGGAGACATCCCACTTGCAGTTCTGTGGATTCAATTTCCTAGAGGAATCTGCTCTCCAGAAAGCCCTCAGGGGGATCCCAGACCTTTACCAGCTAGTTGGGTCCTAAGTCACAAAGGGCTGGGAGCAGAAGTGCTTTTTGAATTAACTTTGCCTCGGAAAATAGCCGGAGAGTTACTGGGCTTCAACTTGAATGAAACCAGTAAATATTACTTCTTGTCGACTTGGCCAAATCAGCTTATCATCAATTTTAATAGACCAATTTGATCTCTTGTAGGATAAGTTGAGCAAGATCTCCATGAACTAAATTGTGACATAGGCCTGGAGAAATGCACCCCTTCTCCTGCAGTCAGACGGGGAATATGTGTTGCTGGCCTTACCAGTTAAAGCCAAGTGCCTCAGTCATCTTTTCTCCTAGATATAGCACTGTAGCACTATCCTCCCATTGTTCATTGATTTGCTTGAGTGGGCACCAGTAACTTCTTCACAACAAATTGTGAGACTTGTTGTTCTGATTTTGGCATGTCGAATACATCACGGGGAGCTTGCCAGGCTTTGCTATGCGGGCAAGATACTCTCAGTAGCTTGCTGGGCTCTCCGAGAGGGGTGGAGGAATCGAACTCCGGTCGGCCACGTGTAAGGCAAACGCCCTACCTGCTGTGATATCGCTCCAGCCCTTCTCATAGATATGGGACAAGAAAAACATTTCTCAGCTTAGCAGCTGCATGTTAGGTAACCAGGGTGTGTTAATTTGTTCGAGTGATGAAGCCACATCGGGAATAGCTGTAGATGGAATCTCCATCTGGTCAACTTTATAATAAACTAGTGTCATTATGCAAGACAACAACTTTTAAAAATGCTTTTTAATTAATAGTGCTTTGTAACGTTGCATCTTTTTCAAACATATGGCATCGTATAAATCAAAAATCTATATTATATCTACATTATAAAGTGTCACCCAAAGTCTGGCTTTCATTATTCACTTTATAATTGAGTCATTTTAACCAAATTTACAGCCTTTCCCCTTCTTATAACTGCTATTTTGTTCTTATAGTCTAAGACTTGGTTTGCTCATTAGTTTTGTTATGTGTAGTTTCAACATATGAGTGCATCCATATGGTGTTATTTTCTTTCCATCTGACTTCACTTAGAGTAATTCTTTCTAGGTCCTTCCATATTTTTACAGATGGCAGTATTTCATCTTTTATGACTGAATAGTATTCCGATGCACACACACACACACACACACACACACGCATGTATATATATCACGTTTTTCTTATCCATTCATCTTCC